CAGGTATGAAATTTCTTCTTCTCCCCCAGCTATGTGTAAATAGCAGGAAAGGCCGGGTTCTATAGACTTGGATGGCAATTGGTCTAACGCAAAAAGAAATGGCAACTTACAAAATCTGCCTCATCAGTCATGTATCGAAATATAAGCGGGTATCAAGTATGGATGAGATGATATTTGTTGTTTGAACATACAGACAAAAACAATAACATTAACTTCTACGATACCATTAACGTCTTCTACAAAAATCAAATACACAAATAACATTAACATTTACGAAAGTTAAGTATAGCCAAAAGCGCTCGGACATGCAAGAAAAATTAAATAAAAAGTTTAATCGAGGTGCCTTGTCAGTCGTCTTTAACGAAACACACACACACACACACACACACACACACACACACACATATATATATATATATATATATATATATATATATATATATATATATATATATAAGGTTATTCTTAGTGGATAATAATATTTGAGTAGACACACAGTTTTTTTTTTATTAACGGGTACATTTATTGTTTTCGTTTACTGGCCTGTATAGTCGTGTGATCTTATTAAAGAAAATGTACGCTCTCCGGCAGAATATTTTCTCTGTTTTTCTCTAAGATTGCTCGAATATTCAAGCAGGTAGACGAAAATAAATAAATAATTTAATAAATAAACTGAGTGTCTACATACGACTGTGCTCAGACATGAGTGGTTGACCATATCTATCTATATCTCTATCCATATCTATATCTATATCTATATCTCTATATCTATATCTATCTATCTATCTATCTATCTATCTATCTATCTATATATATATATATATATATATATATATATATTCGTTTCTATATTTATACTAGCAGCATGGCTCGGCGTTGCCCGTGCTTGATTCAAAAATCGTACGACTCATACAGCAATCACTATCACTTGACTTAAAACATTTTTGCCCTTCCTTGCCTTTAAAGGAGTGCCCTTTGCCGTGCTGATGTTGCTACATGCCTTACTTCTTGCCTATCTCACACTACGAATTTTTTCTAAGCTCTATACTAAACATTAAATCTGTTACGAAAAAAGAACTAAACAAAATGAAAACAAAACGATCAGCTTTAAAAACGAATGTTAACAACAAATACTTTTTCACACCCAACCCTGTTCTGCGGAATCAGAATCAACGTTGAGTTTAAGCAAGCGAATGAGCCAATTGGAGTAAAGTGCCATGCAGATTTAAATTTTTCCCACTTGTGACAAATGCAGCTATCGTTTTTTTTTTTTGCATGCTAGTTAACATTCGTGTCAGTCAGCTGTTGGCTCTCACGCTGGCCAATAGAATCTTCCTGCCTATTCGTGGCAGCCAGCTATCGGCTCTCATTCTGGCCAGTAGAAAATGGGCGCAAACTACATGAAAACTGCCGTAGAAGCATGATAAAATCGACTATTTCTACTATCGATGGGAGTTGGGAAATGCAATGTCGGTCTTGGCCTTCCCGCTAACTTGGAGCATGTGCATGTAAATTTTGGTGCAAATCTGTTGAAAATTGCGGCCGTGCATTCGTTACACACACACGCATATCCTGCCTTTTATAGATAGAGATATATCACACATATAGTGCTGGTGTTAATAAAACAGTGGTCGATGTAATAAAGAGCTATTAAGGATAATAAGTCTACTGAAATTATAGGATTCATTATTGGCGGCTACAATCTTAACAACATAAAATATGGCGCTGTTGATAGCAGGTGCAGAAGGGAAACTATAGGAAAAACTACAAAAGATAGTAAAGGAAAGCGAGAAGAAAGGACTAAGCGTCATTTGTAAGAAGACAGAATGTATAGTTATCAATAAAATAACATTCCCAGATGCGAACTACGAATTGGAGACACCAAAGCCAAGCAAGTATAAAGATTTAAATATCTAGGAAGTGTTTAATAGTTGACGGAAAATGTGACACCGAAAGCAGAAGGTGAATAGGAATAGCGAATGATGCCTTCCAAAATCAAAGCAAAGAAAAAAAAACAGCAAAGGAAACATTTGTTAGAACCAATTAAATAAATTACTGAACTGATAAGTAATATCGGTCCTCTTCTATGGCAGTAAATGATGGACAATTTCTTCACAGATGAAGAGATTTGAATATCTTCTCTACAGAATGATACTGAGAATAACAAGTACTGAACAAATGAGTAACAGTGAAGTTCTAGGAGAAATGGAAGCAACAATATCTTTTATACTTAAAATCAGAAAGAGACAATTGAATAATGAGGAAAAACAGCTTGGAGAATTTAACACTCACACGACAGAATTGAATGCAACAGAGGCAAAGGACAACGATAAATAATATAACGAACGAACTTGTGTAAAAATAAGAAAAGACATTGCTAAGAGCGACAAAGTAGAAGTTTGGGAGAGCCATAATTGCCCTCGTCCTGGTACTATAGCAAAGAACTCATCCTAACAATTGCTATAAAAGTATTTATAGAAAAGACACAGAGAGGCAACCTTACGGCGAACATAGATCCTGGTCAGTACGTAGATGGAACACCTCTTGGAAATTCCAGATGCCGCAAGCGGGGATGTGCGTGTAGTGTAATGGAAAACAGCTCGGAATTGGAGATCGGAGAATTGAGTTCCAATTACAGTCGCGTGCGTTATATTCACATGTCATTTAGACAGGTACGGATCTTCCCCCCCCTCACCAGCTATGAGTTAATTAGTAAGATTCGTATGACTAAATCATCGATATCTGCCCAAAATTCTTACAATCTAAAATATTTTTCTGGTTTAAATAACCTTCAAAAGGTGTATAAACTGAAAAAAAATGAATCAATATATATATATATATATATATATATATATATATATATATATATATATATATATATATATATGTATGTATGTATGTATTTCTTGAGTGTAACCCATTTAAAGTAAGAATCCTATGTAAATAAATTTAATTTTAAGAAATAGAGCATTGATAGAAAACAAATACAATAAAATGTTCACACTTATCTTCCCGAATCAGAGTTTCGTAGAAATGACATCCACTCGTCAGGTTGTTAAATAGTAAATTGATTTTATTTCCTAATAGAATTAATTTATTTACCAAACAACAACAGTAAGAAGATGCCTTAAAGGTTTCACAGATGATTTCATTTTCAATTCTTTTTTGACTGCTCTTTGGACTGTCATAGCCGAAACGCCATTCTCACGTGCCAAACGTCTTATGGATTGAGTTGGATCTTTTCTAATTGATCTCTTTAGCTCTAAGTTGGAATGATGATCTCTATTCCCGTTCTGACCTCTTGGTCCAGTTTTCCTCTACACTGTTCCCGTTTTTTTTTTTTAAAAAACTTATTCACTGATACCTTGACGGTTCATAAATGAATTTGAAGATGGAAGACAGAGTATGAATGTTGGTACCATTACTGAAGGCCTGAATGAGCATTTCCTTGTCACAATTGCTCAGTTAAGGAAGACAGTGTCGCTGACACAAAACGATTTTAACCTGTTATATTTCTAGTTGGATAATTCAAAGTGTTTTTCAGTGATTCTTCCAACAAATGGTGTCAAGATGACTAAACGCCATACCGAAAACCTAGAAAATAGAAACTCAATTATTTAGTGGTTTTTTAGAATTTTTGGATGGACAATTATGCTGTTACACCCAGCATATATATATATATATATATATATATATATATATATATATATATATATATATATATATATATATATATATGTGTGTGTGTGTATGCAAACACGCATGTGCATATATACATGAGGGCGTTAAAAATCCTCGACCAATTCCAAAACTTTTAAAATCTTGAGGAGTTGATTGAGTCCGAAACTTTTTGCATCTTCAATTGCAATAAATATATAATACATATATTTATGCATTTTAAGCCAGTACCAACTATGCACTTCAATTTTGCATATTAAAAATATTGTGGCGCTTATTTAAGCATTTATTTGTGGGTACATGAAGACACACACATACACACACACACAAACGCACACACATATGTATCATATATATATATATATATATATATATATATATATATGTATATGTGTGTGTGTGTGTGTGTGTGTGTATGAGTAAGAGAGAGTGAGACTGGGTGTACATCTTTGTTTACACATTAACGTGTAATATTTGCATTTTTTTCAGATGCTGCTATCTAAAAGAAATCTAAATCCCCGTTGGCGCCAATTCTTGCGTGCGTAACAGAAATCAGCCCACAAGTTTTGTCTAGAACATGCATCGCAGATTTTTCCATATTAAACATCTATTTTCTTTCTTTCTTATCAGTTTTAAACTTTCTGTCTTGTCTATTTTTATGCATTTGAAACAAGTCTATCCACCCCGCTCATTTCTCTATCTTCGATAAAATGATTCTTTATGCTTCTTTTTATTTTATTGCGCAGGTTTTATTTATTTACTTTTTATTTTCTTTCATTAATTCTTTCTTTCTTTCTTTCCTTCTTTTCTTCTTTCTTTCCTTCCACGTTTTCATTCAGTTTCTTTCTTTCGGGTATTTTTCCATCACCATTTTCTTTCTTTCCTTTTTCTTTTTCTATTTCTTATTTCGTACCTTTGAATATTTTATTTATATCCCTTATCGTACAGTGGAATCTTTCTCTTGTTTCATATTTCTTTCCGTTTATTTTCCTTTTTTTCGACATAAATTACTTATCTTTCTTTCTTTCTTTCTTTCTTTCTTTCTTTTATTTTCATTGTCAAACTTCTTCTATGTTCGCCGTCTCTTTAGGACATAGTTCTCCACAACTTCCTATCTCGGGTGGCTCTTAGCAGCTCTTCTCCCTTTGCTAACGCATCCATCCACACAAGTTCGACTTTTATCTTTGAAAATACTTCCTCGGTGTTTTTAATGAATTTTAGATCTAAAAATATAATTAACCCAACAGGAATTGGAAATTGGCTCTCCGATTAACAAACTTGTGCCATTATCCATTACACCACCTGCACATCCAAGCTTAAAGTGCCTGGTATTTCCAAACGATCATCCATCTAGGTACTGAACAGGCTCGAAGTTGCTTTACTTCGGTAATCTTACGTGAACCAGTGTTTCAACATGATGTGGCCGTAAGCCAGTATGGATCAACTTCTTACCTATGTTATATTTATTTATTGTTGACCATAATGCTCCCTTCTAAACTCTGTCAAAGAGTTTTTGAAGTATATGTAGATATTGTAGAGTTGTTATTGATGTGAGTATTTTCCTATAGAACTCAGAGAGTGAAAATCCGTTTTAATGGTTCTTCCAAGTTGAAATACAGCCGGTTCTTTAGCGATGATTTCATATGCATGGAACACTTGATTCTTTAGGATCATTTTCAACATCAATTTATTTCTGTGACTAACCAGACTGATAATTCCTGTAGTTTTGATATTATTGGTGATTGCGTTTTTTGAAAAGGATGATAATGATTGGGTTCATTTTCTTAACGACACCTCTGATTGCCAGGTCTTCTTACAGACTATTGTTAGCATGTCTTTCACTGATTCATCGCCAAGTATGATAAGTTAAGCTGCAACGTTGTCAATTCCAGCTGTTTTACTTGTTTACAGCCATTTTATTGCTACTTCCACGTCTTCTCTATGTACGGGGAAGTCATCATAATTTGAGGATTTAGAGACTAGTAAGACGTCAGTGTTTTCTCTGATAGGATGTTTGTACAACTCGTTGTAGTACTTTGTCCATTTTTCCATGATGCCTTTCGATCCTGTAAGGCAGTTTCCTTTTTTTTTTGTCTTGGGTGGTATTAACTCTAGATTGTTTCCGTTTTCTGCGATTATTCAATATCTGGAATGTTTCTTGTTTTTGTTTTTTAGATTTTCATCAAGCTCTGTGAATTGATGTTTCATACATTCCGCTTTTGTTTTTTGTTTTTCATTTTTATCCTTATTTTTCCTTGCCCTTTCCATACTCTCCTTCTCCTGTTGCGTGTCTAATACTCCCTCTATACTGTCTGTACGTCACACAACTCCAGTATTTCTTCGGTGCCCGATGATTTCTTTTTTGATCCTTACACGCTGATAATGTGCTTGACTGCTTCAGTTATGACTGAATCGAATTTGGTTGTCAACATTTCCGCGTCTTCTTTCAGCCTCAATAATGGTGCAAATATTCCGCCGATGGTTGTTTAAAAGCTATTGCAAATGATGGTTTTTATTTATTTCTGTTGTCAACTTATTCTTATTTACATTTTTTTTTTTATTAATATCAGTCAGTTATATGCCATACGTGATACACGCTTAGGCGATCATGTATCTTTCGATACATGACTGACGAGGCAGATTTTTTCCCGTTACTATTTCTTTCTGCGGTAGACCAGTTGCTATTCAAGGCTACAGTACCCGGTCTGTCCTGCTATTTACACATAGCTGAGGGGAGAAGAAGAGGATTCATACCTTTCGCAAGGGTATTAGCACGTAAGTGAATGTAATGGATTCGACTTGAATTCAAACTTGGCTCTCTGATTCATCAATCCGAGCCGTTATCTATTACTCCATCTTTATTAATAATATTACAGATTAATAAAATTTTCGTTTTTATTAGTAAAATTTTAAATAATAAATCTTCTATTAATAAACTTTCTATCAAATTCTTATCAAATAAACTTTCTATATGTGACGTTTTATTAAATATTTTATTAATAATTTTTATTAATTAATCTTAATAATGCTGCCTTCAATATTATTCATCTTGAATTAAGATACTGTATGGAAAAAATATCTGTAAGCCATAAGAACTAATTTTTGTTTAGTTCGTAGCTAGCAAAAGATAACATTATTATTTTGTTATATTGATATCCAATTTAATTTTATAGTAGTTTGGTTCCATTATTTCTCCAGTAGAAAAATTCATCCTTTCAATTGATTTGCTGAAAAATTCTGTGACTTGTTTCCTTCGGAAAAAGTTAAAATTTCCCGTCCATTTTTCACGATTTTCTACTGAGTGTAATCACATATTTGATATTGAATATTTTAAATCTACTACGATTTTTGAATGATGATAACAGTTTAAAAAGAAAACTAAGTAATTATTTCTACAATGGACACAGTAAACAGAAATATTTTTTCTTTAGTTTTCTTTATTTCACATTAGATCACAAATAATATCACGAAAAATAAATTAAATTTCATAAAAGTTAATGGGGATCAATTTGGTATGTAAATTCATTGTAGACAAATCAACATACAGAAGCCGAAAACAAACAAATATGTTCCTTACGACGTGAAATAATATATATATATTTTGCAATTCGTAATCTGAAGTACTTAATTGATAGTAATATACACCCCGCCCCTCCAAAAAAAAAAAAAAAAAAAAAAACAAAACAAAAAAAAAAAAAAAAAAAACAAATAAAAACCCCAAAAACTCCAGATCACGAATTTTTATCTTATTTTTTTACATTTTAAGAAATCACGTGATATGAACATATTTTTTTAAGGTTTTTGTAGGGAATTCAATTAAAAATTAATTTATAATCCGTAACGGTCTCCTTATCAACTAGGATAAAATTTAATAAAAAAGTTTTTTTCTTCGATATTCAAGTTTTCGAGTGATTAATCTATAGGAATAT